AGGCAGAACGTTAATCTAAGGAAACTAGCCTAAATACATTAATAGGAAAAAATAAGCAATAATTAACTTGATTTTATGTTTTAGTTACTTTTGATTTTATAAGAATAACCGCAATCCTTATAAATTCAATACATACTCCTTTAAGTGTTTAAAAGTTATGATATACGAGCCAAAACGTCACTATACGAAAACTATATAGAAAATAAGTCAGATGCACGGAACTGTTTTTTAGTACTGCAGTACTAGCAGTAATGTTCCATTCCGAGTTAGGTTTTTACGCAAAGCCGGGCTCGGAGTGCCGAGCTTGGGTTAGGTAACCGGAGTTTGAAACGCGCTACCATAAGTAACCCCCTCCTCCGGTTTTTAAATCTTGACTAAATTTCCCACCCGCCCGTTCATTCCTATCCCCCCTTGTATTTGGGACTCGAGAGAATTTAATATACATTAATATATAATAAAATACGGGTGAGCTGACACAGCGTCAAAGGTAAAAACAGAATACATAAATACATAAAATGATCGCATACCTATTTGTATATATAGGTTGATCTATTTAGTTAAAAAACCTTCTAATCTCCTAATTAACTCCGCCTTGCTTCCACTAGTACTTTTACTGCGAAGTCTTAATTCATCCTTTAACTGTTTTAAAGAAAGTTCTCTTGGAATAATATTGATAATTTGATTTTGTGCATGTGATGTTAAGTGTTGCAAAAGTTTGTTGTTGTCACTAAATCGTTCATTGCAAACTTCACATTGGTATGGTTTTAAAATAGCCAAAATTTCTTCAGTTAATTCACCTTTCTCGACACATTGCATTAATGGAATTGCAAATATGCAACAATCACAAAGTTGCTCAGATACAAGTTGACGTGAACAATGGCATATTGATTCACTATCTAAGTTAGCTGGTACTCTTGATTTGTAGTGTGTGTGATAAGTTATGTTCATAGGAAAATGATAAGGAAGATAAATGTTTCTCACAAAACTAGATCTCATCAGTTGATGCCATTTACCTTGTTCGTCAGAAGAAACTGATCGATTACTGTTATTTTTTAGTTGTTGCTTTAAAGACGAGTGTTTTGATTCTTTTCCCTGCATAGTTAAAACTCCATAGCCAATATTATATTTAGTATATATATCTTTTGCATGATATGGTACAATATATCCCATTGTCCATACAGTACTTTGGCAGCTTTCCGGAAAAAACAATGAAAACAAATTAAAATACCTGACGCAATACTTAGCAACATCTGCTGAATAATTTTCTGACGTAATATTATACTTAATAATCAAAACCCCAGCATCACGCAAAGATTCACATATTTTAGCTAACACAGTTCTTTTAAGTTTCTGAATGTTGCTTTCGTTTTCAATCTGTAAAATGTCAACAAGACGAAAACTGTATTGGGCTAAAGAAACCGCTTGAGCTCCTATCAATCTTGTTTCTAATTTGTTCATTCGTTTACTTTCATTTTGATAATGTTCTCTAATATTCTTTGCTAGAAACTTTAAACCACAACCTAACTCATCTGCTTCTTTAGGTGGGTTACTTAAAGAACTTATAAATTGCTCAAAAACTCCACGACGCACTGATTCTTTATAAATTAAGTCAAGGACGTGTTGCCAATTATTAATTTCTAAATTAAGTGGTTCTGGACGAATGGAATCAGCAAATTTGCCAATATGCGGTTCCCCAAGTTGCCGAAGACCGTTTTCTGCCATAAAATTTAACTTTTCATTGTGTTTTGCTGATTCTGAAGCATTCACATTTTGTTTGTTCTCAAACTCTTTTAGCATTGATAACTCTTTCATTCGTGACTCCATGGTTGGTACCTGCCATGTGGCCTCAGTACCTCCAATGGTTTTATTACGTTGCAATAACTCACTCTTATGCACGTTTGCAAAAGGTGAAGGATATGTTGCACTTGTAGGTAAAACATTTGCAGCAAAACACAACCATGAAATATCAGCTGATGGCACAAATTTAAAACTTGTTTTGATGTTATTGATGTTGAGTACATTGCCTTCAATTAATTTCATTTCTTCTGAATGTTGCTTCCACAACAACTCACACACTTTATCTTTTTCACCAGCTGTTATCATATGTAGTGGATAAATAAACTCCCTACTGCGGATGCGTTTACCAAAATTCCACATAGACAAAGTCCCAATTGTCATAGTTTTTTCTCGAGACTCTGGAGCTCCATCATCAGAAAATTCAACAACGAAATGGTTAATGTTTCCATTAAACCAAACAAGTTTTTCGTTTAGAGTTTTAACTTTTAAATTTATATCAGCTACTATTGTCACTAATGCTGTCAAAGTTCTTGATACTCCACTAAAACCTGGAATTTGATGGATTTCACCAATGTCCAATGACTTTACAAACTTTTCAACAGTTTCATTTGAAATATTTGACATGTTCAATTCAAAGTTGATATCACCATATTGAACTGAATTTACAGAAGAAATATTAGAAATATCTGAAAATGTGGTTTTCTGTACTTTGCAAATCATGTTGTATTTACGTCGAGATAAATAAGTAGCATATTTTAAAGCAACTGCTTTGTTTATACCAGCTTTACTTTTAATAAAATTGTTTGAAATTGTTCCATTCAAATTTTCAAGAAAATTTCCTCGTTTGTAATTCACAAAGAATTGCTCCATTTATTTTATTGGAGTAATACTACATAAGAGATCCCACACACCATAAATAGCTCCGTAGCTGCCTCCATGAATAAACTCCATAATTTTTAGAAACTCTGCCCGTCTTCGATATTTTGTTTAACAAGCTGCGTCATTAATCTTAAAGTCAGTTGTAGGATTATTTGATCGCTTAGTTCTTGCATATTCTTTTTGTTCAATCAGTAATTTAACTTTTTCATATTGGGCATTTAAGGCTTTTAACTCATTTTCAATTTCTGCTTGTTCAGATATGGAAGCATCAATACTTTGTTGAATAACTTTTTTATCTTCTTTTAGGGTCATAATTTCATCATCCAATTGATTTGTCTGTGATACTTTAAAAAAAAGAACAAAATATTATAGAAATAATAAAATATGTATGTGTATATATATATATATATATATATATATATATATATATATATATATATATATATATATATATATATATATATATGTATATATATATATATATATATATATATATATATATATATATATATATATATATATATATATATATATATATATATATATATATATATATATATATAACTATATGTATATGTATTAGCAGTTAGGTAAGAAAAACCCTATATAATTTTCACAAACTGTAGTATTTGTTAATATAGTGAGAAAATTACTAACCTTTAGCTGCGTTCAATTGGGAAATGACTTTATTATTTTGTAACAAATTATCTGAAAGCAATTGTTGCTGAACAGGTGAAGTGTTCCAAAATGATTGACTACAGATACGTTTAACGTCACATTTTGATTTATGGTTTGCCAATTTAGAGCAGGTTTTTTTTTGCCACATCTTTAAAAAAATGCAATTGATGCTAATTTTATAATTTAATTTGTTTATATCATATATATATATATATATATATATATATATATATATATATATTATATATATATATATACATATATATATATATATATATATATATATATATATATATATATATATATATATATATATATATATATATATATATATATATATATATATATATATATATATATATATATTTTAATGTTATCAATAATATTTTACAGTTTGACAGTTCTTATAGAGTACTTACCTCTTACTCCCCTACCGTTGTATCCGCCACTGGCATCACATACTTAATGATTTCTATATTTGAGTAGAAAAATAAAGTACCTTTTAAATGTACCAATTTCAGACATTAATGAAGATAGATAACAATAAACACTCTCAAAAAACGTGTTACAATCTGTACCACGTGTTTCAATCTGTCTTGGGTGCTGTTGCCACCATCTCCCCGTGCTACAATCTTTTTGTTCCACCCAAAAAAACTCAACAATTAATGACGTAATGATAACCCTGACTAAGCTTTAGTCAAAAGCATATAATAAGAATCAAAGTATAACTTATAGTCTGATTCTCATTATATGATTTTGTCATTTCCCTACTTATAGTATCACTTATACTATATTATAACTTAATATTACTTTAAGTAAATTTATTTAATCTATGCTACCCGTGAACATAAATCACTGGTGTCACTCGTTCATAAATCATTGGTGTCACTCTGTCAATCTTTCTTTATAAGGAAAGATAGATTATAATTATTAATGTGTAAAAGTTTGGGTATTTAATAAATTTTGTAATAATTTAAATATTTAATAAATATATTAAAATTACTATATTTATTAAATACCATAACTCTATGTACAAATTTAAAATAAAATATTATTATTTTATATTTTTATTATATATATGCATAATATTAGGTACGTGGCATAAATATTTTAAATTAATTAAATAGTAGATTGTTATATGTCATTAGAAAGGCCTTTAATTCAATTTTTCAAAAGTGAAAAAATTATAAAAATCGAACATTTATATAAAAAGTTATACTTGATTAAGTGACGAATTACCGATATATGGATTTTTTTTTTTACTAAAACTATCATATCTTAGTCAATTCTCATCAAAATCCTTATATCTTGGCGTCAAAAAATAGGTGCAAGAATAACCTACAAAATAATAACAACCTTGAGCAATTGGGCATACCGTGGGGGCGGCGGGCGCACAGAAACGCCATCTTTAAGGTCAATAAAAAGAGATTTTTATTAATAAAAAAGTGTTTCTTCAGGAAACCGGTCTATTTCATATGCAAAAAGTTGTTACAATTTTATTACACTTCACTGCCAAATATCAGAGGTTCATTAAAAATATGGGGTGGACGTTGGGTGTTAAAATTTAACACACCCTAATTTAAAAAAACAATCATTCTCATAATTATTTTTATCTTTGTTTCAAAATATACATCTAATAGATCAAGTTTATAAAATGAATAATTTTTTTTTACATCTTTAAAACAAAAAGTAGTGGTGTACACAAAGACACGAGAAAAGGGCGTATCCCTCCTCCTCTGACCTAAAAAAAATAATTTTAAATTAGGTTTCCTAAAATAAAAATTGCTATTATTTTTAATGTTTTATTTTAATATAAAATTGTTTTTACCATATTACAGTAGTAGTATTACAAGATGCATCCAGAGTATTTATTTTTGAAGAAGTTAGTAGCGGTTACCCCCTCTGACCTATACAAATTATAAATAATTTAAAATGACGTTTTCTAAAATAAAAACTGCTATTATTTTATGTTTTATTTTAATATAAAATTATTTTTACCTTATATGAGTAGTAGTATTACAAGATGCATCAGTCTTCATATTTGCTGAGGAAGATGTCAAATCCCCCCTCCGACCTAAAAAAATTTTTTATACATTTATATATGATTCCAAACAACTATTATGTATTTTGGATTTTAGTTAATGATTAAGATAAGTTTTCAGTAATGAAACTATATAATAATAATTGTTAACGATAGACAAAATGTGAACGTAAGCCAAAAACCGTCTATCAAAAAAAGTTCCACTACTTGCTGCACATTAATTTTGCAAGTTTCACTACCTGCAAAATTCTGTACATTTATGTTGCAAGTTCCTCTACTTGCTGTACATATATTTTGCAAGTTCCACTACTCGCTGTAGATTTATGTTGCAAGTTCCACTACTTGCTGTACATTTATGTTGCATGTTCCACAACTTGCTGTACATATGTTTGCAAATTCCACTACTCGCTGTAGATTTATGTTGCAAGTTCCACTACTCGCTGTACGTTTATCTTGCATGTTCCACTACTTGCCGTACATATAATTTGAAAATTCCACTACTTGTTGTACATTTCTGTTGCAAGTTCAACTACTTGCTAAACATTTATGTTGCAAGTTCCATTACTTGCTGTACATATATTTTGCAAGTTCCACTACTTCCTGTAAATTTATATCACAAGTTCCACTATTAGCAGTACATTTACAAAAAAAATTCCACTACTTGTTTAACCTTTATTTTGCAAGTTCTAATTCTTGCTGTATATTAATTTTGCAAGTTTCACAATAAGATAGCATAAGAAATTACGAAAATACTAACTCGCCTGATACAACATCAGCAACCAGCTGGAATTTTTTCATGCTATGGTCAACAGCTTCTGTATAAGTATCATCTGGAGCCCAGTAAGAAATTGTTTAAAAAATGCCTTTCGTTGTCTTTTTAAGATTTTCAACTCTGCCATTATACAAGATCGCCATTGTTGAATCTGTATCATTACCATTCGTGGCAGAGATTCCTCCCAACAATTCTTTCACACATAACATCATTTAAATTATCAATTTGCTTAGTCTTAATATAATTTGCAGATCTTCTAATATTAAAAATATATATATATATATATATATATATATATATATATATATATATATATATATATATATATATATATATATATATATATATATACATATATATATACATATATATATAAAATAAAGTCAACATTTCCATAACATATGCAAAAATGTTAGGAAACATGACACCAAGATACTGTAAAAACCTATAAAAATATAACACAATAAAATTCTACTAACTATTTTTTCTAATCGATCTAGAGTGATGAAAGTAAATAACAATTTAAAAATTGAATAAAAATTATTATTTATTTTTTAAATGTAAAAAAATAAGTAAATAAATAAATGAAAACAAAAGACAATTAACCTAATTTAGCTATGCAAGCATCGTCTGACAACTTTCTAGTCTTTATTTTTTTTTTCTTTAAAACTAGTTTATTTTTCATACAAGAAATTATATACTCTAAATATAATTACATTGTTGTAATAACTAAAATTTATTAAAAATTTAAGCAAATTGTCATTGAATTTAAAAAAATCTTAACTATAAACAGACACAAATATTTTAATCTGCTTTTAGTTAAAAAACTTTTTACATTATAAAACATATATGTATATATATATATATATATATATATATATATATATATATATATATATATATATATATATATATATATACATATATATGTATATATATATATATATATATATATATATATATATATATATATATATATATATATATATATATATATATATATATATATATGTTTATATATGCATATATATATATATATATATATATATATATATATATATATATATGTATATGTATATGTATATATATATATATATATATACATATATATATATATATATATATATATATATATATATGTATATATATTTATATATATATATATATATATATATATATATATATATATATATATATATATATATATATATATATATATATATATATATATATATATATATATATATATATATATATATATATTATATATATATATATATATATAAAATTTAGTATTCAATTAAAAACAGTTTATATTTATAATACAAATTATTTATTAATATAATAAATTTAGTTTAATAAAACAATTATCGTCAAATTTTGCAAAAGTTTTAATTAATGAAATACTAAATTTTTCTATTAACAAAAATTGCTTTTTCCGACTCTACTAAATAATTTTATTATTTTTACTTTTACGCATCGAATCAAAACACCGACAATAATATATTTTGAAAATTCATAATGGTTTCTAGGTCATCTTTATGATCGATAAAATAACTAACTAACAAACTCTTAGATAGCCTTCATCCATGGTCAATTATATGATCTGAAAATTCCCGCATAGATTCCTAATACGTACATCTAAAATTCCAGTTTACAACATATATCTTCTTTTAAATAATGTTGTAGATATATTTGTATTTTGTAAAAAAACATACATTTTAATGGTTATTTTGCTTGAAACTACTATTTAACTCTAATTTAGACATATAGTTGTAAACTGGAATTTGAGATCAACTAGATAGCTCTCTTTATAAGTAATAATATTGATAGTTGATATCATCTTCATGCAGTCTATCAAGCTGATTTTTTTAAATTTTAATACTAGTTTTTAAAGGATATTGAATTTCAATATCTATATAACTTTTAACTAGCAGATTTTATAAAAATACGAATGATATATGTTTGTAATTTATTTTCTATTTAACCAAATAAACTTAAAATACTATTATATAATCCTAATTTAATGCAAAAGATTATATTTTTTTGCAATTTTTAAAAAATAAATAATCATTTGCGGACGTTTAGGATCAAGTTTCGATAAATTTTGGTATTTTTTAAAAAAAGCATTTGGGAGAAAAACAGTGAAAAATAACCGCCGTGGCGCGTTGAATAGTTTTTTTATTATTAATTCAAAATCTGCACTCCGTAAAAATAATAATTTGTACACGCGTACGAATAATAACGTTGATTTTAAAACAATTAATTAATAAAAAACTGCTAAGTAAATTTTTATTATTACAATATATAAAATATTTTTTTAAAATTGTATTTTAGGGAGAAGGGGGGTAAAATTTGTTGCGTAATTTAGGGGGGGGGGGTCAGTTAAGCGTTGCGATCTGTGACAGGGGGGAAAGGGGTCCAAAATTGTAAAAATCTGCGTGACGTAATTTATGGACGACCCCTAATGTTCTATTTCTGATACTTTTTCATTAAATAATAAATATGACATTAATCTAAATCTATCTTTTATTCCACATTTTTTCATGTCTTCTTTTAATATTTTCTCCCCTACTAATAGCTCTAATTTTAATTTTTCTAATCCTAATTCTAATTTTAATTCTTCTATTCTATTCTTCGAGTCTGCTATTTTTTCTTACCTATTTTTTAAGATTAATCTTTCTGAGTTTAATGAATTTAATTCTACTTCATCATCTATACTTTCTTCAAACATTACATCATCAAAAAATGAATTTAATTCTACTTCATCATCTATACTTTCTTCAAACTTTACATCATCAAAAAATGAAATTAATTCTTCTAATTGGTTTAATCTAATTTCGATCTTATCTTCTTCATATCTTAAATCTAATAGTCTTTCTTTTTTAAATCTTGATTTTAATTTTAATTCTAAAAATATTCTAATAATCTTTTGTAAGAATTTTTACATTTTTTTTTTTTTATACGATTCGTTTTGCATTTCGTTTTCCATTCTTTTTATAAATGCAAGAAATTTATTTAACTAATTTTTAAATAATTTAAATTATTGTATATTTTTATTTATCAAGTTATTAATAAACAATGTTAATTTTATTTCCGTCTGATTGAAACTGTAACACTCTATCAGATATTGCAACAGCAAATGCTTCAGTACCTGCTGGAACAGCTGCATTAAATGCTGCTTTAATTTGAACATCTACTACTGATGATTTTAATCTTTCTGATTGCTTACTCACATCAAAAACCATAAGTGGGTATAAATCTTTATTGTCAGCAGGAGTTATGTTGCTTTGTGTGATCAGTTCATTCATTCCATAAAATTTTTCACTAAACGTAGAAGCATCTCTATAAGCTCTTGAAAATTGTTGATTTGGGAACAATAAATTATTATCAACAGCAGGATATTTTTCTTGATTAAGCATGATATACATATTTTTCAAGTCACAATGATCAAATATTGAAGGACTGAGTTCTTGATTTCCATCTTTAATTGTTTGGAACCCAACAATAATATATCTTGGTTTTTCAGTAGATGTTTTTACACTCTGTCTCCAAGTAAATGTAGTTTTTTTTTACACTCAGTCTCCAAGTAAATGTAGATTGTAGAACAGTTATAGTATCACACTGTCGTGAACGAAAAGTTACTGAAAGTGTTATTTTTGATTCAATAGCTTTATAAAGATTATTTTTTTCTATATCTGACGGATTAACATGTGGTATAAACAATGATATTTTATCAAGATTAACTTGTCCAGCAGCTACAGTAGCAATTCTAAAAGTTGCATCATCGTCACTTTTTTTAACAAGAGTTGGAGTATGTTTAAATCCATAAATAACTTTGTTGTAATCATCACAGAATCTAAAAATGTGCTTTAGAGGTATGCTAAATGAAAATGTTCCTTTTGTAGTTGATTTCTGAACTATGTAAGCTTGTCTTATTGCAAATCCTGCGTTATCAGCAAATACTGCTGTTATTGCAGAACCTTTAGTCCACAACTGATTTAATCCTTGTGCTAATTGAAAGTCATTTGGGTATTTGAGCATTCCTAACATTGTAGTTGCTTGATCTGGATGATAAACTGATTCTACTTCTTGG